AAAGACAGCAGATTGCCTATAGAGTGTGAAAGAAAGAAGTTCAGGATGATTCCAAGGTTAGTGTCTGCTTGTTGCCACATCATGTCTGTTGTGTGGCTTCTCAGATTGATGACGGAAGGTCTGCCTGACTAGAGTCCATGCTTCCAGGGGGGAAAAAAGGCAAGGAATAAACAGAAGGAAAGTTCAGGTGCACTTTTGCTTTTAAAGCTACCTGCCAAACTTTCAACTACAAAGACAGAGACAGGAAAGCCAGAACTGAAAACAAAAATAGGTTCAAATATGCAATTTTCAAGTTTCCCCTTCTGCTTCATTTTTTTTTCTCTTCTACCAAACCAAGGTCTGTTCCCAGAGGGGTGTGTGGGCGCCCCCTCTGCATCTATGCACCCATGCATCCCTTTCGTCCCATCTTGGCTGTGTTGCTGATGCTCAGATTGTTCTGTGTCAGCCCGGAGCGAATCTGATTGCCAACCCAAGGCTTCCTTATCACAGCCCTGGTGGAAAAGATGTAAAGGAATTTCTAGGGGTCGTTTTAATTAGCATCAGGACAGAAGGAAAATTCCTTTCCTTTGAGTGAACAGACCCTCCAAAGGTTATTTTGCGAGGCAGCTTGGGGTTTCTGTTCTACATCGGAGTGATTGAGTCAAGGATTTGGATCCCTAGTTGTTTCTCCAAATTCATTCTTATTCACATTAGGCCCTTATGCTTTGATCTTTTCCTCCCCAACCTTCCTACCACCCCTTCAACACACACTGTCCTGAGGACGTTCAGCTGGCATTCTTTGGCAAATCGTAGACCAAAGTAAACTATATTAAAATTGTGCACTAGGTTTTGACATAGGTGCCTCACAATTTAAACAGAATTTGCTATTTTGAGATTTTAAGTATACAAATATCAATAAAAATACAACTTAAGTTTTACACTGAAACAAAATATATTCTTTAAGGTACCTTAAAACATGAAAAGTACTAAAAAATGTCCTGATTCTTAACCCCCAGGCACAAAGCTACCATGTTTCGTAGACCTCTCCCTCAGTGTTAGCACCAACAATTATGCCAACGTGGAATTGGCGCCTAATCCCTTTACCACCTAGGTCTCCTGCCCCTGACACAGCTAAGCATCAATTCAGTTTTGAATATCAATCTTTTTGTTTTCAGTAATTGATAGGAAAAATATCCTGTCATTCACTTTCATAATAATAATCCTTTCTGAGTAAATCCCTGAGCACTTACAGTATCGGCGCCCGTCTAAACCCCTGATGTGCAGTAATGCGCTGAGCCTTCCAACAACTGCATGAGATGGGTGTTCTCTTGATTCCCCATTTCAAAATTCAGAGCCTAAGACACAGAGGAGTTAAAACTATGGAAGTTAGAAATCAGGAAATTCTCCTGAGCCGACTCAAGTCCATTGTGCGGCTGCAGTAGCTCCCTGCCTGTACTCTGCCTTCCCCAGGGAATGGGAAAATGCTGATCATCAGTATGCCTTTTTAAGATTGCAAAGGTATCAGTGTTTAAAACACAAAAGGGCAGCTCCATTACCTTGACCTTCTCAATCTCGGGAAGATATAAAGTGATCCTTTTCCTAATCAGTTTTGGAACTGACTTTGGAGGACTCGTTGAAACCTGAACCCCAATCCAACAAGGCCCCCAGGATGCTTAAACTATCAGATGAGGATGTGGCTAATTCCCCAATCCTGCAAGTGTGGATTGAGAAAAGGGAAGATGTCGACAGTTCTCCTAAAGCAACTCAAGACCGCATCACCCTTGCCCCTGAGCTTCTTGTTAGTTTATTTTTCCCTTTCCTCTTACTTACAGATTTCTTTCAATGCCAGGCATTGTAACAAGCCCCTTACACATATTTTCTCCCTTAAACTGTGCACTTGACTCATGAGCCAATGCCATTAGACTCCCTATTTAATGGTAAAACTGGAGCTTAGAGATATTCAGGAATGTACCAAAACTCACCCAGCAGAACAAGTAAGAGAGGCAGGGCTTAAACTCAAATCTACCTTCCTCTAAGTCACATCCATTTAGTCACAATAGTGTGCTGTCCCTGCCACACACACCCCTGCTTGGTGTCCTCCCCAGCTTGTGGCTTCAGGCTGAACGGGTCCTGAGGTGACATGCCTTCTTACCCCGGGGGTCACTCTGAGAATCACAGGTTCTGTGATGGCTTCTGCCCCACAGACCTCATGCTCACTCTCGTCCTATTAGCCTCTGTCTCACAGCTTCTCTCAGAATGCGCTCTGTGCGATGCCAGGGCCTGTTGGTCTGGGCCGCGCAGCCTTGCTGTGTCAGGCTCTGCCCCACCACCCTCAAGGAGCACACCTGTGTGCTCAGTTCTGAAGGCAGGCCTTCAACTGCTGCTTTTCTAAAAACTAATCTTTTTCTTCTGTTGTGGTGATTTTTTGGCGGTGACATTGGCTTATAAAATTATATAGAAACTAATCTTTAAGTGAAAATCCTTTTAGGCTGTGGAACAGCCATTGTCAGCACTCAGGATGTGGAATGGTAATCAGGTCAAGCTAACTGGGGCAAAGGTTGAATTAAAGCAGTTGAGGAAGGAGGAGGAGGAGGAGCTTTGCCTCCTGGCAGGCCCCTAGGGTAAAGCCCAGAGAGAACAAATAAGGCTGATCCCTTTCATCTTTCTAGTTAGCTTAGAAAATGAGGTGCTGCTGCAGTGGGAAAAGTGGCAACACCGTCTAAAAAACCCTCGATGACCTGTTAAAATGTTGAGAACCTACAAAATGCACTTCTACAATCATTTCCTACCCTTTCCTCACAGCCCTTTTTTAGAGAATTCGATGAAACCAGCCCACCCGTGACAGTGACCATCACTGCGATATTTCCTGGCAGAGATGGCTGACCACTTCCACACTTTTGGGTCTCTTTTATAATCATTTCTCTCTGATATACATCTAAGCTATCAGAAGGTTCTTGTAACTACAAGCAATATGCAAGTAACTAGCTTCTGTCAAATGTTTTCTCTGCCATGATTCATCACTTCGGGGCATTACCTGGATTGGGTTATTTCAGGTTTAATTTCCACAGGCTTATTTGTTTCCTCTGTTGAATGCTTTCTTGCTTTTTTGTTTTATATATAATTTTAAAATAGCAATGATTAATCATTGTTATTTCATCGTGCTGCTGAATGACCTCGACTTCCAAGAATGACCCTGAGACCACAGAGCGGTTTTATTCATAGAACCCTCATCTCCTAAAAAGTTTCGGAACTTTCTTTTTTTCTCTTCTGGGCTTTCCAGTAGATGATTTGAGTTTTCTTCTACAGGAAGTGCCCCTCTTCAGGCTTACATCAGGAAAGCATCTTGCATTCATGCTTCCTGGGCAACTGCCAGACAATCACAGCCCCCGGCCTACCTCCTCCTTCCTTGAATTCCTTCTTTTTCTCTCCTTTTTCTTTCCTTTCTTGTTCCCTTTTACCTACTCTTTTTCCTAGACCCCAGACTTTCTTTTGCTTCCCTTTTTCCTCCCAGAGTTTCTCTTGGAGATTAAGTAGAAACAGCTAAATTCAGAATACTTTCAGCACAGGGGACCTGATGCCGACCTTCAACTCCCTTCGCAGATGGGCGTCGTGCCCCTGACCTCATCCTTCCTCCCTGCTCATGAAGCCCAAGCCACGCGGAATGCTGTCCTTCCCACCTCCTTTGAGAGTGTGCCCTCATTACATCCCAGAGACTGCCTTTGTGGTAGCAAAGCATCTGGATTATGACTAGTGGAGCTTGTGAGCAGAAAGGACTCTGTCCTGTGTCACGGTCACCCTTTGCAGTGACTTATCTCACTCTCCTTTACAGCTTCAGTCACTCCCAACCAGTCACACAAGTCACCACAATGACCACACCCTGTGATTTCCACCCGTGGTTGGGGAGAAGGGGGATGGATGCCAACCTGCCATGCTTCATCCTAGGAGAGACTCTCCAAGAGAAACATTTTGGGTTTGCTTTGCTTTGCTTTTGGTCTAACTAGAAAAGTAGAATGAGATCTCATGTTAATACAGTGCTAGAAAGCCCAACAACCAGCAAACATCTAGTAGGGAAACTGGAGGGGTTGTGGTATTTTCAGGGATACATCATATCCGAATCTAGCCAATAATCAGTCAGTTTAAAATGAGGCTCCTTTCTACCTTGAATGTTCTGGGAAAGGGGAATGGAGGGAATCAAGGATTAAAGAAGAAAGAAAAATGTATTATGGTTCATTAAAGTCTCCACTTTGGCATGCTTTTTTTCTCTGCTTGTCGCATGCACTCACCCATTAATTAATGTCAATAATGGGAAAGAAATGAAGCGTTATACTTGTGGTACAGCTGTTTTAAATGATTACTTTGAGAATGGTATTTTTCCAGTACCTTTCTCTAAGCATCACGGACATTACTCGCCATGCTCAGTTGATCATTCTTTGTCCCAAATCCCTAAATGGAATCAGTTGTCTCCCTGATGCTTTAACTGAGCTGACTCAGGTAATTTGGAAAGCTCTGATGCATGCTCCTGACTTGTTTAGATACTGCAATGTTAATTACGATAAATATTTGAAAACCAAAGTCAAATCAAAGGGTCCCTGGGCCTGGCTTTCCCTTGTCAAAAGCCAGTTCTGAGATAAGCATTTAATTTCAGAGCCATGGCTATGCCTCCAGAGCAGCTCTGTTTCTTTGGACTTGTTTTGGATCTCAGCTGTAGTAGGAGTTTTAGTGGTCACTGTTGCTTTCATTTATTTTGTAAGCTGTTGGGAGGGAGGGAAGAGGCCCAGGTCAAACTTTTCGTCTGTGGTCTGACAGCTTGAGATTCTCAAACAGAGAAGCGAACTGAAGAATCCACAAAGGTAAGAAAGAATCCTTCATGCAGGGCACAGGGCGTTTGGATTGGACAGAAAGGAGTGGTCACTGCTCTAATGCAACGTAACTACAGAAGCCACGGGCCTGCTGCACCATTGCCACGGGCCTCTATTTTCCTCCTCATCCTGTTTCCTTCCCACCACTTTCTCTTGCTTCAGGGAGGTTCAGAGAAAAGGCTTCAATCCTCCACAAGATTGCCAAGAAGAAATGCCAGGTGGATGAGAACGAAAGGCAGAACGGGGCTGCCAATCACGTGGGTGAGTCCAGGGAGACTTGGTCCAGCGCCTTTCCTGGAGTGTGTGGAGGGGAGCGGAGAGCAGGACCCAGTCTGGGCGCCCCAGACTCGGTGCAGACAGAATCCTGCTGCTTAGCCCTTTCCCAAGTGTCAGGTATCTGCTTCCCCTGGTGGGTACAGGCCATGGATCGACGCTGTGTGTCACCTGCGCTGGGGGAACTTCAAGAAGAGTAAAATGATTCTATGAGGAACCTGAAATAAAACCACTCATAAACCAAACATCTCTCTTGAACGCTAGAAAATCACTTTACTCTAGGGATTCCACGTAAAGAGGACACATACACCCCCATCATTTACTGTTTAACAAAAGGTGAAATTCTTGCCTGGTAACCAAATTTTATACCTATGACATTACATACAGCACACCCACTGATTTACCAGCTGGTTCACTTAGTGACTCCTAAATGGAGTGGCAGGATCCCTGCCAGATGACACAGCCTGCCCTTTCTCGAGAATTCAGCGATACTAGCCCAGGTCTTTTCTGGCTGACTTTTTGTGAGCTCCTGTGTGACTAGATCAGATATTCAGACATCTTTCTTTAACTTGGAACATTACGTTCCTCCTCTCCTGTCTGTAACTATAATAAAGCTCTCTGATTCTAAATGCAAACTAAATTTAACCCAATCTGGATCTAGGCTATAAACGATGCTGTTGCCAAAGATACTATAATTATCTGCAGACAAAATTCAATAGCGTTCCATTCAAAATACATGCCACTCCTTAGAAGTGTTTTTGGCCACTCCCGTTACTCTGACTTCCAGCTCAGAGGCAATCTTAGGCCAAGAAACAGTCAAGATTCTATTGGGTATGGAAAAAAAAACAACTGGAAGGACATACACTAAAGTATGAATAATAGCTACTTCTTGGGGTTGGGATTATGAATTATATCTGTTTTCCCTGCGTCCTTATGCTTCTGTGAACTTGGACTCATTTTTTTGGAATGAATTTATCTTGCCGTTGTATTATAAAAATGCAAAGCCACACCACAAAAGTCTAATTGCATAGGCTGAGTTTTGCTTGTGATATTTAAGTTCGATTACACAAGCTATTTTTCTGCACCACTTGTTGATTTTTGTGGAATTCTTGTGGAATGAGGCAGCTTGGAGCACAAGACTTAGATGCCTGAGTCAGTCCCAGTCCTCCTCCGAAGGAGACTTGGATTTAGCCCTTCACGAGGCAGTACGACGCATGATTCCAAGGATGCTTTCCGTGCAGACTGAGTCTCTGAAAGACTATAACTAAAAAAAAATAGTGTGTGTCCAAAACACATGCTTTACAAAGTGAGTCCAAGATTTATTTTCACATGTTCTTTGGTGATGAGACCTCAGACTGCTGTGTAAAATCACGTCATAAGCTAAGACGGGCATACTCAGACGTTATGCCTGGGAGGTTGTTTCTTCTCATCTGTTCGTGTCTTTTCTTGAACATCTTAACTCCATTTTGGTATCCAGTATCCTGTATTGGTAGGGTCAAGTTTGGCCATTGCAGGCTGATCTTAAAACTATATTACTCCAGCCAATAGATCCCCAAAACAGAGTTTTTCTATTCCCCAATACTTAGTATTTTTTAGTTTAAATAAGTGAACCAAGCATGCTAGGATAAACTGATGTAGCTACACACAGCAGAACATCACATGCATATCACTGTCACTACTAAAAACATGGAAAAATAAAATAAATTGGAGTTTTTTTGGCTTTCCATATGTAAATATCTTTATGCCTCTGTATTTCACAACTAAATACATACATAAACAAACATTTCCCTATGATTTCCAAAAATTGGCGGCTTCAAATCCAACAATTTTTGTGTAACTCTCAAATTATTTTGAGTAATATTTCATCGGTGAGAAAATTTTTTAGTTCTTCTGAATTTGCTAGAAAAAGAAAACATTTGATATACCTGATCGCTCAGGTCTGATTCTGATGAGCATTCGATACCCTTGGCACCCCCGACCCTGAACCACACAGCCTCACTGTCTCCTGGAACCCAAGACTTTACCCTGCACAGCCAGAGGGTCTAGAAAACTTTTAATTTCCCTCCCTCTGAAGTCATGGCAGACCTCGGTGGTGCCTGCACACAGGTCACCTAGAGCTGCTCAAGAGAGCAGCCGTGCTGAGTATGCTCAGAAGCCTGGGGAGGAATGGTACCAAACCCTTGCCATTTGGTGCAGCCCCAGGCTTAGCACCCCTCAGAGACCACCATCTCCTCCCTCAGCCCAATATTTTAGGATATTCTTTCCAATATGATTCTCCCCCATTGACTCCAGTTGCTTTCTTCATCACAGAAAAAATCGAGCTCCCGAACAGCACCAGCACAGAAGTTGAAATGACGCCATCCAGTGAAGCTTCGGAACCTGTACAAAATGGAAATCTCTCCCACAACATTGAGGCCGCAGAAGCCCAGGTAGGGCCTCTTTTCATTGTTTCTCTGGGCCACTGTTTTCTGATATCTAGTAGAGCACCACAGAGGCTACATTCTCCCTGGAAGCCCCAGCTCCCACGGGGGAAGACACAGGCAGAGTTTTATTTATCCCTTGTGTGTATTTCCCCGCACCAGCCCAGGGCCCCACATGTGCCACGCTCTCCATCTATTAAATAAATACACATTCTGTCAACCACTGTTTCTCAGGGCCAGGTTGGAGGACTCACGCAGACCCCTGGGCCATACCTCAGACTGATAAAGCAGAATCTCTGGGAAACATCACCCGGGATCCGCATATTTAAATTAGCCTCCCAGGTGATTCTTAATGCATGATAAAGTTTGGTAGCTGCTGCAAGCTAATCCTTTCTCTGTGTCTTTAAGGTCAGGGTTAAGTAACAGAGAAAACACAGCCATCACACGTTGGGGAGCCCTATTTGGCTTTCCCAGGCCCTGCAGCTGAGATAGTTACAACACTTCACATCTCCAAGTACTCTGTGCCACAGATGGGGTAATAGGCTCTATATATATGTTTTCATCTTTAAACCTCACAGCCCAAACTATAGTTATTTAGTATCTCCATTTTATATTTGAGCAAGCTAAAGCTTAGCAAGGTGAAGTAGTTAATCAGGATTACCTAGCTTGTAGATACCAGAGCTGAGATCTGATCTCAGGACTGTCCAGATAGAGCACCTATTCTGTTTCTACCACACAACTCTGCCTCTAACCAAAGTTGCTCAGAAAAATAAGCAGGGAAAAAAAAGTAGGTGGTACTTGTTAGATTTCTGGATCTCTTCCTGATCAAGTGGATCAGAATGTCTAAGACACGGGTCCCAAACTTGCATTTTAATCGGGTACCCTAGATCAGTGTTTCTCAAACTTTAATACACCCATGCATTTCCTGGGAGATCGTGTCAAGATTCAGATTTGTAAGGTCCAGAGTGGGGCCCAGAGTCTACAATTCCGATCATCTCCCTGGTGATTTGATGTCACTGGTCCAGGGACCACACTTTGAGTAGAACTACCCTAACATCTGAGACGCACTTCTCAGGACAGGATTTTCCCAATGAGATGAAAAGTTAATGCCGTGCCACAAAGAGAGGCCAGACTACAGTGAGTCAGTGCCAGCGCTCTCTCCACCTGTGTACAGGACACACTCTGCCACAGAAGGAGTTCGCAAGTCAGGGAAAAACACTGATTGTCTGTTGCCCTTATTCCTTGAAGGAATATGCAAGGAAAATTTCTTCATAGAAAGGAAAGAAAGATGTTGAGCACCTTTCACATACCTATTTGTCATTTGTATTTCTTTGGAAAGACAACTATCTAGGTTGTCCTTTTTTTTTTTTTTTCTATTGAGTTGTAAGCATTCCCTATATATTATATATTTTGGGTATTAACCCCTTAAAAGAATATGTACAGCTTGCAAATATTTTCTCCCTTGCATAGGTTGACTTTTCATTTTGTTGATTGTTTTCTTTGCTGTGCTATTCACAACATATACTTCTACCCAATCATCACATTGTACACCTTAAATGTATAGGATCTTATTTGTCAATTATACCTCAGTAAAGCTGGAAAAAAATAACTAAAGGAAAAGATAAGGAAATGGCAGCTCTTTCTGCCCTTGTCTCCTCTGCCTTCTGGGTTCTCACCCTCCTGCCCAGAGCCCTGTGGTCCCTTTGCATTAGCTCAGGGGTGAGCTGGCAGAGCGACTTATGTCCACATGGATAGGCAGCATGTGGCAGCAGGAGGCAGGCCCCGAGGACGTCTGGTCGCCCTTGGGGATGGCACGATCACAGGTGTGTGGAGGGCAGCCTGGTCACTGTGCCTCTCCATCTGGCTGGCAGAGGGACATCTGTGCCCCCCACAAGGGAGCACCTTGCTACAGGGGAGTAAGTGAGTCCCAGCTGATCCCTCTCTGAGCCAAGGTCTGACCCTCAGGTCTCACACAGAGGAACAGGACAGATTTGTACACTACCCTGCTACACTGAGAGCTCAAGGCCAAACAGGCCTTCAAAGGGCCGCCCACCAGCTGGCTGCAAACAACGTGGTAGTGAATTCCACATCCACCAGGAACGAGTACCTAACCTCACTTTAGTTTCCTCATCGGCGAAGTACAGGTAATAATAGTGCTTGCTTCGTTAAAGTTATTAGGAGAGTTACATAAGATAATGTACATGCACAGAGCTAAGCGTTTCCATTTATATTATATGTTCATACTTACCATATAAATAGCATTAAAGGTATCCCTGCCCCAAAGGAGTTCCGTGTAGGGAAAATTAAAATTTATTGTATATATAAATAATGCTTGGAGTAGTCAGGATGTAATAAGTAAATAAGTAAACATTTGTGGTAGGTATATTATTATGGTCCAATGTCTGTACCAAGTGCTCTGGGATGTAAATATAAAAGTTTCTTAGAAGAGGGAACATTTGAGCTGGGTATTGATGGCTGAGTAGGAGTTTGTCTCTCAGAAAAGGAGTAGGTGACCAAGACGATAATATGTGCCTAGGTATAAAACCTTCAGATGGCAATTCATGTTTAGTGATTGGTAGGAAGACCACTGGAACTGGAAACTGAAACATAAGGTGAGGAGTGAGGAGACATCTACCAGGATAGGTTAACTGGGCTGATATTCTTCATCTGTTCAGTCAGAAAATTTTTAGTGTTCATCTAATTACTATGTGTCAGGGGATGTGCTGGGCACTGGAGATGCTCACATGTTCTGGCAGAGCAGAGAGACTGCGACAAAAACCAAGATATAATTATAGATGGTCATAATGGCCATGAAGAAAGTGAAGCATGATAATGCAGTGGAGGACAGGTAGAAAAGCCCCTTTTGGTTGGGAGATGAGGGAAGGCTACACTAAGGAGGTGGTGTTTGAATGGAGACTGAACTCCAAGGAGCCAGCCAAGGGAACAGTGCCCACAGAGGCAGAAATGAGCTTCGCTTGTTTGAGGAACAGAAGAGTGAGTGGGGCAGGAAGTATGGAGCGGAGGGAGTAAGGATGGTGGCAATGAGGTTGGACAGCAGGACCGAGCAGAACTGGCCCAGCTTGTAAACTGTGATAAGGAAGTTGACTTCCCTCTAGAGCAGCAACAAGCCATTGAGGGTTCTAGTTGTGATCGGCACTTGTAAACGATCCCTGGGGCTGTGGTGTGGGATTGGACTTGGAGGCAAGCACTTGTATACAGGAGTGGAGCAGAGGTCGCTGCAGGAGTTGAGCTGATGGCGGCAACACACCAGAGCAGTAGACGTGTGGTAAAAAGTACATGGATTCTGAAGGGCATTGGAGGTACCACCGAGCAGTCTGAGCTTCCCCTGTTGGGAGACAGGAGCAGGGGCAGCGTCGGCTTTGTAGGACAGGTAAGCCAGCTCTTTCAGAATAGTTGAGGAGGGGCCAGAATGGAAGAAGGCTTGATACTGGGTGGTGAAGTAAGAGCCTGTTTGTTCAAGGATCAACAAACTACGGTCGGTGGCCAAATCTGGCCTGCGGCCTGTTTCTGTACAACCCATGAGACGAGACTGTTTTTACATCTTTAAAGGTTATTTTTAAAAAGCAGCAGCATATGTGACAGAGACCATATGGATCGCAAAGCCTAAAACATTTACTATCTGGCCCTTTACAGAAAAAGTTTGCCCACCCCTAGTTTAGACCATCTGCATTCTTTAAAAAGAAAAAAAAAAAGGATGAGGATGCTCTTCATGTACTGATGTGGAATTAGTTTCAATACATGCTGTTTGGGTCAGCTTTAGTTCAAGCGGTTACTTCGTCATGGCAGTCACTATCACACGCTGTTAAGTGAAAAGGGTGGCACGCCAAATTCCATTCACACTATATTTGTGTGAGAGGGGAAAAAGGAGGGAAGCAGCATAAGCATTTGCTTGGGTTGCTCCTGAAGAAACTGGCCATGCCAGTCACCTCCAGAACAGTGGCCTGGGTAATGAGCAACCAGTGTGAGAGAGAGGCTCCAGTATGCAGTCTTCTGTAGCTCTTGAATTTTGAACCACGTAATTGTATTAACTATTCAAAAATGTAATAACAACAAGTGAGCTAAATGAAAACAGAAACAGTATGCTTTAGTGGTTTAAGAGCGAAGACTCTTGGAGACAGGCCACATGAATTCAAATTCCAGATCTGTTACCAGCCGCGTGACTTGGGACAAGTTACTTAGCCTCTCTGTTCCCTACATTTTTTTTCTGGGTGAAAAAGGGATAATAACAGCACCTACTTCATATTATTGTTGTGAGAATAAAATGCTCTTAGCAGGTCTTGGCACACAATAAGCATTGCATCGGTGTGTGCTATTATTAGACACACTTAGTAAATCTTTTTAAAATCTGCTCTCAAGGTCCATATGACAATGCCTATGGCGTGGATGGCAGTGGCTGGATTTTGGGCTGTTTCTGAGGCTGAATTGAGAAGATTTGCTGTTAAATTAGCCACAGAGAGTGAACAAGAACAGGAAGTTGTAGAGGATGCTGAGGTTTCTGAGCTGGGAAGATAGGGTGACAGGGTAAATGGCGGCCGTGACTCCAGAGCTAGAAGAAGGTTGTGAAGTTGGGGCCAGGCCACCCAAAGCGGTGTCACAGAAATTATTCAATGCATTTATATTGTGTTAGTTTTCTTTCTTTCCCAGTTGTGTTTTTATCAAGCTCCATGAACAATGAGGTGGGCATCCCGACTTTGTTAATGGATGTGAGGAGCCCCATATGCCACGCGCCTATCACTGGGACTCTCCTGAGAGCCTAGTTTCCTGTAATTCACCTGTTGTTTTAAAACCCAATTTACAAATAAACTAATTTTACATCAACAGCTCATTTTTGATAGCTTTCTTCAGTGCAGACTTTACACTGGCAAAGAAAAGCATTTTAAAATATTCTCACAGAGGAAGCCCCTTTGCAGGAGTTTTTGCTTCATCTCTGTATTTTGTGGAACCAGAAAATAATCTGACTTCTTAAACGGCTTAGTGTTAATTATCTT